TCTATTTATGTAATCCATAAAGACAGTTGGGGCATTGGTTAGTCCAAACAGCATAACAAGAAATTCATAGTGACCATATCTTGTTCTAAACGCAATTTTTGGAATGTCCTCAAATCTAACCATTAATTGATGATAACTTGACCTTAAGTCAATTTTAGAGAATATTGATGCTCTAGATAGTTGGTCAAGTAGATCATCGATCCTGGGCAAATGATACTTGTTTTTTATGGTTGCCTTATTTAATTGGCAGTAATCAATACATAGTCTCATACTCCAATCCTTCTTCTTCACAAAAAGCACAGGTGAGCCCTAAAGGGATACACATAGCCTAATAAAGCCCTTTTCCAACAACTCCTCGATCTATTTCTTTAACTTTGCTAATTCCAATAGAGACATCCGATAAGGAGCTTTAGAGATAGGCTCCATTCCAGGTGCAAGATCAATAGAGAACTCCACTTTTGTCTCTAGAGGCAAACCTGTTATCTCTTCTAGAAACACATCTGGGAATTTCCTTACCATTGCAATCTCATCTATGCCCTTTTCGACTTTCGTTTGAATAGAGAAGACTACCATATAAGCTTGACATCCTTTTTTAATACACTTTTCAACTTCCACTAAAGACAACAATTGTGGCCCACTAGAACTTGTGGAGGAGACTGACAAAGAAACAGTCTTCCTGCTACAATCTAGAATGGCATCATTGGCTGACAACCAATCCATTCTTACAATTAGATCAATACCCTTTAAGGGTAGATAAACAAGATCTATAGCGAAAGTCCTACCCTCAAATTCAATCATACAATTCAAGCAAGCTTTAGAAGTTTTCACTGAGACTCTTGCCGATATAGAAACAATCACATCACATGGCAATTCATACATATGCATATTTAAACATGACACATAACCATCAGATATAAATGAGTGTTTTGCACTAGAATCAAATAAAGCTTGAGTTTCAAAGTCTTAGAGTTTGATAATACCTTTAGTCAATTTAGGGGCAGCGTCAACTTCTTGTTGAGATAGAGCGAGCACTCTTCCTGGGACTGCAGCTTTGGTATCATTAACCCGTCGCAAGCCTTCCTCACAGAATTTAAAAATGTGGCCCAGTTTCCTGCACTTGAAATAGATTATACAATTTTCTTGATGCATCTTCCCAAACTTGGCATACTTTTGACTATTGGTAGTGCTAGTGATAAGAGCTATACAACCATTGTAAGAGCTCTGTCCCCTACTGACTTGATTTTTTAGAGGTCCATTGAATTGACTTCTCAAGGGTCCACTGAATTGACTCCTCGAAGGTCCACTAAATTGATTCCTTGAGGGCTGAGTAAACCGCTTCTTTGAGCTATTAAAGCTATAAGTATTCTTCTTACTGATTCCTCCCATAGGTCTCATGAATGGAACGAACCTAGTATAAGAGTCCTTCCTCTTCTCAGCTTCTTTCTCTCTCATTCTTTTAGCAATAATACGCAATTTGTTGCACATTTTTTCAAAATCATTAATCTCAAAGCCTGCTAAAGTTGTTCTTAACTCTGGCATGGCTTTTTCCAGTAGCCTATCAGCTATCCACTTTGAGTTATGTTGCATCTACAGATAAGTAGTGTACTTAACTAACCCAAGGAATCGAGTGATGAAGTCTTCCTCATTTAAGTTCCCTTGCTTGAAGGCATAGAATTTTGCTTCTTGATCAGCTTTAAGGGCATTAGGGAAATAATGTTGGAAGAATTTCTCCTTGAACCTTTCCCAAGTTATCTCTGCACTCTTAAAAGGCTTAATGATGTCCCACCACTTCTTTGCTTCCTTTTGTAATAGCTGCTCAACAACTTGCACTTTTTCTTGTGAGGTGCAGACTACTATCTTGAATATAGTCTCCGACCATTTGATCCATTCTTCAGCTTCAGATGGATTCAACCAACCCTCAAACTTAGGCGGATCAAACTTTCTAAAACTTTCCCATAGTAGTGTGATACGTTAGAGGTTGTGTTGAGAATGTGCATTGCTATCACCTTTCGATTCAGTGCCTCTAAGGGTATTACCTGTTGACTGGTGGTCACTGGGAGCTTCATCATCAACATGGCCATTTTCTTCTTGATGACTATCATGCTGACCTTTGATTGCCACCAGCTCGTCCTCATGTCTCTTCACTCTTCAATTAATACTTATAACATAATCTTGTAATTCTCACAAAATAGCATTATTATCTTGACGAGAAAGAGCATCTTGATTGGGAATTGGGGTAGAGTTAGTCCTTCGAGTGTTCGCTGTTCTCCCTTCCTATGTAGAATAGCACAAGGACACTAGGTAAACTAAACTGCGTTACTAAAATAAACTTTCAATTTAAAAATAAAAGGAAGTGCACATATTATTATATTTAAATTGCCATGACCTCTAGCTATTTTTTTTTCAAAACCTTTTTTTTTTTGGAAAATTCTTTCACACTAGTCAAATAAAAAGCCATGGAACGTTGTAGTTCTAATACAAAAAATGTAACACCTCACATAATTATATCTACATACACGATAAAATACTTCATTTAAAAATTCATATATATTTTTAGCATTCAAAACATATCAATTTCAAAATATTTTTCAGACATTACAAAATAAATGATCGAACTCTTATAGCCATGGCAATTAAAAATATAACATAGCATATGCTCGATGAGCACAGAAGCCTTCACGGCTTGCTCCATTGGTGCCTTCTCTTGATTTCCTACTAGATTCTTCACCTGAAAATGTTAATATAAGGGATGAGATCAAATATCTCAGTAACTACTGAAATTCTAACCTATACAGCCAAACCATATATGACAAACAAAATTCGTTTTTATGTGTATATATCTATTTATGTATGAAAATCACAGATTTTATACATTCAACTTAATTTTATTTTTGATTCAATAATATACCAACATCATTTTTCCAATATATCTAAAAATAATGCAATATGCATCATCCCTTATATTACCATTCACCCTTATACTGTTGATTGGAACCATAGGCTAACACATACTCCAATAGGAACTAATCCATTTTACTAAATTATTCCGAGCTCATTGATACTAGTGATATATCCAGCCAAAGATATAGAGCTCAAGTTCGGACTATGACTCCCCTCTTTTGCAAATAAAATAAGGAGGTGTTACAATGAGCACGGTAGAGAGTCGGAGGAGATTGGAGAAAAAGATGCTTGGGAGACATTGAAGATTGAGAAGACGCACAGAAGACAGTAAATATTGAAAGAGGAAACGAGAGAAGATTCAGCTGCAAAGAAAAGTAGAATTCAAGATTCACAAGCATAGAGGAAGGAGTAGCAAGAATTGAGATGGGAACTTGAACCAGAGAAAACAAGATCAGGTAATTCTGTCATTGTCCTCTACTGGTTAACTTCATCTTTGCTGTGCAGTGAATGTTATGGAATGTTTTCAAGATGTTGAACATCATGCATTTTAGCTTAGCTTTATCTGTTTAAAAAAACTTTGGCCTATGAGTTGTTGCTGTTGTGTTGAGTTGCCTATGATATACTCCTCTAGTCTTTAATATAGGATCTAATTGTTCAGTTGATATTGGTTCTAAATATAAGACTTATTTCCCATATTTATCATTTTTTTAAAATTATCCTTATTGATACTTCATCAACCATAATCAAGTAAAAGAGAATGGAAGGATATTAAAAAAGATGACTATGGTGTTTTAAGAAAAACATGTTATATTTTTTATAATTAAATAACTTGCCTAGCTTTCCTAATCTAATCAAATTAATTAAATAGGTTTTATATAAAGAATTGGAGGAGTATTATGACAATTTTGCTTTAGTTGGACTCTGCTTTCGCATCATGAATGAGAAAAGATGCAGTCTCGTGTTTAGCCAAAAGATGTTTGACAAAAGGCTTGAAAGGGTTAAAGATTAAAGGAACTATTTTTCTAGGGTTTGAAAACCTTGTTTCCTTTATTATTTATCAAAATCAGTTGGGCGTTAAATTTGCAAACTTAGTTGGTGGAGGAGCTTAGGTTTTCCCTTTGGATATTGATTAGTTGCTCACCAAATGCAGTCTATATTGTTCTAATGCCTTGTCTGCTTAGTTTCTGACTGCATAGCCAATGTTGCACATTTTTCTGTACTTATTTAGAGATAACCTTAACATGAAATGTGGTATTGATGTTCCTCGATGTGTTCGGTTTGACGTAAAAAAATTTTGTGGTTATTGGAGCCCGTTTGCATGGTCAAATTTGCTGGCGTTTGGAACTGGCAGAAAATGCTTGCCTGTCGGTTTATTAGTGCCCATTTCGTGGTTTCTCTGTACCGGTACAGAGGTGATCTTGATATGAAATTCTGTATCCAAACTTCCCTTTTGGTGCTCTACATGTTCAAATGGAAGCCCAGCAACTATACTCAACCAGGGGCCCACGTCCCACATCATACCCCACACTGTACTATAGGGCTCCACACCCACCATTGTCAGCCGCTTCGCCTATCCAAATAGCAAGGCCACTGACTCGGGCCTAATAACATTCAAATAATGGTAGAACTTCAGCTGTTGATGTACTATTATATTTTACTATATAAGTTGATTGATTTTGTTGTAATACTTTAAAAAAAATAGTCTTATATTTTGAAACAGAAGTGCCATACAACTTAAATTTAGAAACAAATCATGATAAAACTAAGTTAATAATTAATTAATGCCCAAGGAGTTATATGTTCAATTATTAGCCAAAGTAAGACAAGACTGTGCCATTAAGTAGAGCCTAATGTGCTTCTCTATCAATTAGGCAACAAGACTCTCAAAAAGGCCTAACAAGGCTCTAAAGCATATAGATATGTAGCATCAAGGGCGATGCTGTTCAATGTAAGTTAGACAGTGTGTGCTCCCTTGTGCTCTTTGATCACAAGAGAGAGTCTCTTGTAGGGTCACTAAATTTTCTTCCAGTAGAGAGGTTGAGAACAATCCTAATCCTTGTGTGCGTACATAGAAGCAATTATATTCTTTTCTTAAGTGATTCAATAATCAATGATGTCTCCATCTCTTATCCAATATAGAAATCTTCCACAAGGACCTGGGATCAAAACAATAAATAATTTTTTTTATTGCTATGCTTTCTGCTCTAAATCCTAACAAGATCAAGCTATTAAATGCCCAAACACTCACACGAACATACAACCCGATGACAGCTTAAACTTTACATTTCCTATTATGAGTCCTAAATGGCTAAAGTGTCTTGGAACAGCCCTCCAAGTGTAGGCTCAAAATGACAACGTTTTGCTCAATAGAAGATACTCCGATGATGCCAAACAAGGGTATTGACTAAAATATATTTAGTTAGGTGTATTTCTACAGCAAAACTCGTTCTCCATAGAGCTTATTCCACTGCTGCAGTTCTTGCATTATTAATCCATTATCATCAAAACTTGGGGGAATCTGCATCAGTATAAGCCATTAAGCTTCCATGAAGACAACGAAATGACTATATAGAAATAAATACTATGATAAAATTCAAGATTTAGATTCTTCTACATGGGTCCCACTGATAGATGATTAAGCTTCTAGAGGGCAATGAAGGAAGGCCATTCAAAAATTTATGATATCTTGTAGTAATCTCACGTTCACCTAACAAATTTGGTAGATTAGGATATGTGCTGAAATCTTAACCTGTTGGAAATATTTTTCCTACAACAGTGCAAGAGAAAGCAACGAAAAAAATTTGCAAAATCAATCGACTAAGGACACGTGTTAATTGAATCTTGGATGGCTAAGATCTGACGGCATCAGTAATGAACACTAAAAAAGTCAAATCAGCCCCCATATTATTTACACCAATATCCATTTGCAGTCAATATAGGCCTACATCAAGCAAAACCATACCCATTTACGTAAATTGTGAGGGGCTCTTTAACCCTACCTGATTCTTAGCCTGAAGCATGTCTTCCATGTTTATAGGCCTCAAGGTAATTACTTGATCTTCTTTGTCCTTCTTAGCACTTGAATCAGCCTTTGAGCTTTGGCCTTCAGCATCTTTCTTATTCTTTTCCTAAATTAATATGAAATTTGTGCTGTTCAGCTTAAAGATAATGATTAAGTTGAGAAAGCACATTGAGATTTTGTTACAAGTCAAGGAAATTACTTTCTCATTTGTATCCTCTTTGGCACTTGAAGCGGCTTCTGAGTTTGGCCTTCAGCTTCATTTTTATTCTTTTCCTTAAATAAGAAAAAATTATTAGAAATATTAAATTGAGAGGGTACATTGACATGACTTAACAAGTCAACATTCTCATGTTTGGTTAGAAACATTACCATATCCTTCAATCTCTCCTGCTTTATTAGCTCCTTAACTGGTCGATAAGCAGCAGCAGTGCACAAATTCTATTTATAAGAAATTTAGTGTTAAAGAGATGGTAACCACCGCTTCTAAGTAGAAAAATAGAATCACAATTTGAAAAGGAAGAACAAAAAACCTTGAGGTCGCTCCCAGTATATCCCTCTGTCATGATTGCAAGCTCTTTGAAGTCCAACTTTTCAGTATTTTCCTTGGCTAGCATGGTTTTCAAGATAATCTCCCTAGTCTCAACAGATGGAAGACCAACCATGAATCTGCTCAAAAATGAAAGTTATAAAAATTTCAAACTGAAAATTCTTTGCATTTGTTTTTAAGATAAAAATGATAAAATGAACGAGAAACAAATGATATAGACATACCTTCGCTGAAACCGTCTTATGATTGCATCATCAAGGTCAAATGGCCTGTTGGTTGCGGCAAGAACTAGAATTCTCTCATCTTGTTTTGTCAATAGACCATCCCAATGGGTCATGAATTCATTCTTAATCCTCCTCGTAGCCTCATGCTCTCCGCATCTTGCTCGTTGCCCAAGTAAGCTATCAACCTCATCAATAAAAATAATAGTTGGAGAAACCTTTGCAGCCAGTGTGAAGATAGCTCGGACATTCTTCTCGTCTTCTCCATAGAACTTTGATGTGATGGCAGACATTGGAACATTGATGAAACTTGCTCCTGCTTCATGTGCAATTGCCTTTGCAAGCATTGTTTTGCCGGTTCCTGGAGGTCCGAAAAGTAGAATACCTCGACAAGGCTTAAGAAGTCCACCTTTGAAGAGCTCTGGTCTTCGAAGTGGAAGCATGATTAGCTCTTGGAGTGATTCCTTAACTTCCTCTAATGCACCAATATCTGCGAATGTAACTCCTATCTGATTTGCAGGGATAAGCTCTGATCTCATGTTTGCTTCATAATTATTGTCCGGAGGAACTTCCTGCCAACACAAAAAATGAAATAGTATTAGTTAAACACTTTTTTCATTTTGTTGAACTCTCCACAAGCTAAGTCCCATTGTGTTGATAACCACTCTATGGAAGCATTTGTGCTAATCTGTTTTGATCTGTCTAAACAGAGTGAATGTAAACATACTTTGTTTCCATCAGTCTCTGTCTTCTGAGTATCATTGACAGTATTGCTTTTGCGGAATAGACCCAAACTGTGGCACAAACTGTAAATTCACAAGATCTCAGCAACTAAAACTATTTCTCCGCAAAACAAATACGTAAAAATGATTGGATCAAATTCGTACCTTTCAGATGATATTACAAGCTTTCCATTATGATATTCTGGATCCTTGGTATTCATCAAGTAGTAAGATACTGCAGATACCGCAATTTCTTCAATATGTTTGCTTAGTACTTCTGTATCCTCGTGGTTGATTGAATTCAAGTCTTTACATTCAACATCCATTTCTGCTAGTACTTTAGCAATGTGGTTTTGGTTATCTTGAGACTGAATTGTTTTCTTGTCCCCCTCTAGTTGGGTTTTCCAGTTTTGAAGATTATGCTCATCTTTAGGAGGTTTGATCTGAATATTGTAAGGGAATAATGCAGCGAGCCTTTCATCAACTTCTGCACCAGCTTCTGGTGGTGGAACAAAACATGGTAACCACTCATTTCCCAGCAACTCATCTTCTGACCATTCATCTTCAACATCAGTTATTTGGGAACCAAGTATCAAAATTGGCCCTGAAAGTTTCTCTAGAATTTCTTGAAACAACTTATACAGTTGTTCTGATTCTAGGAAAATCCTCTTAACATCCCTGATGTATAATATAATGGAACTTTTTTCTGAGACAGAAACCACGACCTGCGAGAATTATTATTTATCTTTCTTGTCATAAACATTTTTATGGAAAGCCTTGCAATTATGGTAGTTTTCAAATAAAGAACAAATTAGAGTTGGTGAAAGAAATCATGATGACATCACCTTATAAAGCAACTGCATGAAGAATTCTTCATCCATGCACATGTCACTTTTGTTCTTAGGGGGATCTGAGAATGGAGATTCAAAGCAATTTGTAATTCAAACATTTGAATTTTGTGTATATTCATATTAAAATACTGCATCACTACTAAATGTTCTACCTATCATATGTAGTTGAATAAGTCCTATTCTCTCTTGTTATAAATATAAGAAATAGTTGCAGGATCTATTTTAGTTTTACATTCAAATTTTAATCTACTTTGTCTCACAAATTTATGATTCTTTTTCCAACCAATCCTATGTTGCACCTGTGAAAGGGAGTTTTTATTAATAAGGATAATTTCTAATGTAAATGAATATATGGGGTATTTTAGTGAAACCAAAAAATATTTATTATAAATAATTAGCTTACCTGATTTTTTTCAATCCTTGTAAGATAATTATCTATTTCTTATGTTTAGGACTAAATGGAGTATTAATTATGTTGACTTTATATACAATTAAAATCCCTATAAAAATACAACTTCAGAAATATCAGAATTTTTTGGGGCAGAATGCTGTTTCTTCCTTTCTTACCTTCAGCTTCACTAGTCGAAGAGGAACCAAACAGACTGGCCAATCTCTTGGAAGCCACCTCAGATAAGGACCTTTTAGAAGACTAAACAAATAAAACGGGTTAAGGAAAATGACATGACAAACCAACATGAAGGTTTGTTATTTTGTCAATCCATATTTGGAAAAAAAAACAAACTAACACAGTAAATGCAGAGCAGAAAAACTTACGGATTCTTTTCTTGGACATCCATATTTTCTCCTCACCTATAAAAAATGAAAGAGGTCAGTTACAAATATAATTGCTAATTCAACTTAAAGAAACTAAACGAAAATGTGAAAGTAAATCACCTTGACAGAGAAGTCAGCAATATCTAGCAGCAGCAACTTTGATTCAAAATGATGTGCTAAAGCCTTGGCAATTGTTTGCAGGTAAAGTTCTTCAGAATTTGTAAAGAAAGCTAATGAGTCGAACATGCATGAAAACCCAAACAATTATGTCCCAAACTCATGGGTTATTTTTTCCTCCCCCCTTATTATAAGGCACTTATGCTATAATCACCTCACTGGAATCAAGAAAGGCTAGTTGAATCATTAACTTAACAAAAATATTTTGCACCATGCTCATATTTAAAACTATGTATTGTTATCATAAATCATTGAGATGGAGGAATAATTGCATGGGAAATTGAGTATGAAGGAAAAGCAATAGAAAAACGCTTCATTCAAGAAGCCAGCAAAGAAAACTCAAATCAAAACCTACTTAATAACTTATGCCTCCAGTTCTTAATATAAGAACTAGTTAACTGATTTAAGTATATTAAGAAAATTAGGTAAGTTAATTATTTGTAATAAATGTGCGCTGTCTTCTCTAAAATATTCTTATTAATCATATATATTTGCTAAAATTACCATTTGATGAAACATTTAACATGTGTAACTACTACAAAGACTATATTAGGAAAAAATAGATATTGGGGTTTTATATTTTGGATCAAACTGAATGTCAAACTAGCTCTTATATTAAGGATTAGAAATAGTAATAAGGATTATGTATTCTTTCTAAAAGATGCCTTATGATAAGGATCAGAGACAAATATGCATAGCATACCTGTTGGACCAGAAAGTAAGATTGCCCTGCTTGTTTGTGGAAGGTTCCGGATGTGTCTAGAGAAGATAAGTTGTTTTAGATGAACAAATGCAGCACTCATCAATAGCTGCCGACTACTTTCACTGTTAATGCAATGGAAAAAAATGAGAATTATATTATCAGGTTGCCCTGTTTCAGCTCATGTTATGATTTTTTTTTTGGGGGGGGGGGGGGACACAACATCATATATTTTTATCAGCATAAATAGAATTAACAGCTACAATATGTGTGTAAAATCTGTAATTGAACATGATAATTCTAAATATGACGAAAACCTTAAAGTAAATACCCATTATTTCTTCATTGTGCCTTTTTCACAAGACTAATCTTACGAAGAAAGTGACTAAGTTAATATTATCACCTTAAGTAATAAGGAAAGTCTTGGAAAGTTTCTTTGCATTCCTTCCCATCAATAACCTGCCTCATAAGTTCTTGCTTAACTTGCTCATTCCAGAGCTCTTCTTCTTCATCAGAATTCCCTCCAAGCCCTGAACTGAATCCAAGCCCTGCTCCAAAACCAACCCCAATACCCAATGCTGACAGCAAAACATTCTTCTGCTCCATATCTTTCCTGCTTCTTTTCATACTTTTTTCTGATATTGTGATAGAAGAAGATGCATACGTGGTCTCAAGGCTGATCACGGCTTCAACTTTCGATACAGTATCTGATATCTGATACTATTGGGTCAGATTTAAGTACTGTTTGGGATACACAAGGCAGCTCTTCTAAAGGTGTCTTTTATGTTCATACAGACTCGAACTGGAGACCAATTTGGTAGAATAAGCTCAGGTGACTACTAAGGTAGATGTCTATTATTTGGAGATGGGGATTAGAGAAGTAAAGGATTGGTGGTTGCTGCTATGGCCTGTATGTGACCCTTTTCACCTCTCGCCTCCATATATGTATATATATAGAGAGTGAGACACACACACACAAACATAGACATACACGTGCCTTTGAGTTAGCGGTGTGAAATGAATTCCAAGACGACAAAGAAGCTTTCTTTCTTTTGTTTTCTTGTTGTCCAAGTTTCACGCCAATTGCTTAAAGCGTAGGAGAAAATGGAGAATTATTCCGTCTTTACCATGTGATACTCAAATATGACCGTTGATTTATTTGGTGTTTAACTGAACGTGGCCTTAAAAAGAAAGGGGAAAAAAAAAGTTCTTGTCCGGCTACAATGAAATTAATAAAGCTGGAGTTTCTAGTGCTAGGCGATAATCTTTTTTACATTGGACAAGAAATCCTTTAAAATTCAGTAATACCTTAGTATTTATAAATAGGCATGATTTTTTTATAATTATTTGAACCATACTTTTTTGAAGTCTGGGTCTTTTTTAATAATAGTAAAATAAAAAAAATACCTTATAGAAGATTTTAGCAATAGTAAATTGGTCACATTCATTTACATATTATTTGTGTAAAATTATAATAATAGCCTATAAAATATTAAATTTGGATTATTAAAATTTTGATCAAGTGAGGGAAAGGAAAAAGGAATCCATCCCGTTTCTACAATTTTATATAAAATGCAAAGACAACACATACTGTTTTTAGTCAGGGGAGAACCATCGTTGACTCTATACCAACGTTGGCAACCAGACCTTACTTTTTTTAATTTTTTTAGAAAATTAAATATTTAATCCTAATATAGCTTCAAAATACATTATATTATTACTTTTGTTAATAATGTCCATTTAATTATTTAACTTCCCATACTTATACTGAAATTATGATATCCCTTATAATTGTTTTGTTTGTATTTATATATATTAAAATCATTAATTTCTTATAATTATAAAAATTTGACTTGATTGTTAATATTATAAAGATAATTTTTTTAAAAAATAGTACCAAGCCCTAAGTTGGAAGCAGGCATCACTTACAGTTTACAACATAGAAGGATATCTTCCTTTTTTTTTTTTGGTGAAACAGAAGCATATCTTTTTGATAAAACAATACAGAAGGATATCAGGACAAAACCATTTGTGATCGTCAATAAGCACACAAAAGTACAGCTAGAACAAGAAGAATATGAAACTTTTTTTTTTTAATATTTCAAACATAGAGAAAAGAATATGACTTAAGGAACCAAAATAAATGTGAATGAAGCCAGTTAGGCGCACTATATTAAAGCAACAAGTTAAAGATGAGGTGATTACGTATCCAACACTTATAGCTCCTTTTCATATTCCCCCCTGATTTTTTTTTTTAAAAAAAAGTTCCTACTTTTTATCACTTGAAATTTGACTCTCTGGGATGGCATTGAGTGGGGAATAATTATGTATATAAGCTTATTGCCCTTAATTATTTTTTAAAAGAATCACATCATCATCAATTTTCATGAATAGTAAGCATTAGATTCGGACACGTGTCCCAAAACACACCCATATGAAGAAGACTACATTTTTTTTTTGGGGCACTATTACATCTTTTAGAAGTCTTGTTTAATCTTTCCTATAAAAATCAACGGCAAGTTGCCTTAACGGAAGCGTTATCCGCCATGCTTAAAATAGGTTTTAGGTTCAAGTTTAATGCTGACATATTTATATACGTGTGTGTTTCATTGTGTACAAAAAAAAAATTCTTTCCAATAAAAGACTATAAAATTTAGTAATGCGCCTAAGAATTTTTTTCCAAGAATACTCAAATATTATAGTACCTCCTTTCTTGATCTAGTTTCAGTTGTGGTGCAATTAGTGACCTAAAAGTCTCTTTGATTTGCAGAAAGATTTGGAATGACATGTAACGGGACGTTTTGTCCCTATGTTTAGTTGTACCTTCTCCTATTGTTATTCTTCAGATTAAAAATATGAACTCTTATTTTTATGTGAGACGAAAATGGATATTGCCAAGTAGAAGGCTAGGGATCTAGATTCATCATTTCTTAGGCATCATATTTGTCATTAAAGAGAGGATTCCAAAAGAGAGAAAAGAAAATTAACCAAACAAACTTAGCAGACCCTTGCCCCCAAAAAAAAAAAAAAAAAAACAAAAAAAGTCTTAGCAGATTTGCAGTTGCGTGGTTGGCACAAAATCGGAAGTAACCCAATTATAATTAAAATGATATAATTTAATTAAAATATATAAAATAATCATATATAACCTTGAAATGGGTAGTATTTAAATGAAGGGATATCAATCTACATGTAAATGGAACATTCATGTGTGAATTGAAGGAAGCAACCCAATAGGACGTGTGAATATAAGTTTCTCAGGTTTTTATACATCCTCCCTCACTTATATATTGTGTGAAAATATACCGTAGAGGCCATGATATTCTTTTCCCCAAGTGATTCAGCAATCAATCATGTCTCCATTCAAAAGAAGAATAATCTCTTTCCCCTTTTCTAATGCATAGATTTCCCAAAAGGATTTGGGATCACAACAAAGATTTTAATTTCATTACGGGTAATGATTTCTACTTTGAAGCCTAACAAGATCAAACTATTAAATGCGTTTAAACGCTCGATCACATGCACAAACAACCAAAAGGTATATCTCAAGCTTACTTGTCATTTCTCATTATAAGTCTTAAGCAGTGATAGTGTCTTGGAACTGTCCTCCAAGCATAGGCGTCAAAATGACAATGTCTTGCTTTAATAGAAGTTAATCCGATGATACCAGAGAAGGATATTAACTGAAATACATTTAGCTAGGTTTTATTTCTATGGTAAACCATTCTCCTACTAAAAGTTGCTCCAACTGGAATTCATTTAAGTGATATATTTACCGCGAACCTCGTTCTCCACATAGCTCATTCCACTGCTTCAACTGATGCATAATTAATCCGCGAGCATCAAAACTTGCAGGAACCTGTGGGAAAATTTAAGATTTAGATTCTTCTACATGTGTCATTGATAAATGAGTAAGCTTTTTCAAGGGCAATGAAGAAAGGACAGTAAACAAATATATGATCTCTTGTAGCAATCTCAGATTTACCAAATAATTTAGGTAGGTTAGGCTATGGGCTGAAATCTTAACCTGTTTTAAGTATTTTCTCACAACGGTGCAAGAGAAAGAAAACTAAAGAGTTTCCAAAATCAATGGACTAAGGACATTTGTTAGTTGAATATTCAATCGAGATCAAATGGTATTATCAATGAGCACTGAATACGATTTGAAGAGAGATAAAAGAAAAAGTATAAATGGATATTATAGCAAGTATTTTCCCAGAATGGTTGGAAAAAAAGAAAAGAAAAAGTATAGGCCTGAATCAAGCAAAGATCATAGTCATCCATATAAAGTTGTGGGGGTTTTTTAAGTCAACCTTACCTGATTCTTAGCCTGAATCATGTCTTCCATACTTATAGGCCTCAAGGTAATTACGGGCTCTTCTTTGTCCTCCTTAGCACTTGAAGCAGCTTTTGAGCTTTGGCCTTCAGCATCTTTCTTACCCTTGGCCTAAATTAAGAAAAATTTTATGTTGGTTTAGTCAGCTAAAAGACAATGATTAAGTTGACAAGGCGTGGTGACATGATGTTTTAAGTCAAGGAAATCACTTTCTCTTTTGTATCCTCTTTGGCACTTGAAGCAGCTTTTGAGTTTTGGCGCTCGGCCTCTTCTTTATTCTTCTCCTTAGATAAGAGAAATTTTATGCTAGTCAGCTAAAAGATGATAATTAGAATGAGAGGGCACATTGACATGATGTAACAAGCCAACATTGTCAAGTTTGGTTAGTAACATTACCAAAGCCTCCAACTTCTCCTGTTTTATTAGCTCCCTAACAGGTCGATAAGCAGCAGCAGTGCACAAATTCTATTCAAAAGAAATTAACTGTCACGAGATGGTGGCCAAATGTTATAAGTCGTAAAGTAGAATCACAATATAAAAAGGAAAGACAAAACTAAGAAACCTTGAGCTCGCTTCCAGTATATCCCTCTGTTATGACTGCAATCTCCTTCAAGTCTAAATTTTCAGTATTTTCCTTACTTAGCAGAGTTTTCAAGATAATTTCCCTAGTCTCAACCAATAAGTTGGTTGAGACAATCAATCAATCATCAACTCTATAATCTTATAATACACTTAAAAATAAGTTGAGGTGTAGCAATTAACAAATACTTTTAATATCACATATTTAAAACCAATATTAAAAAAATAAATGAATATTTTCAAGGCCACTGATGAGGTGGTTAATTATTACGAGAGAGAATGTCTGAAATTTAAATACGTAATAATATATAGTAATACCCTAATAATTTTGTATTTGCTAAGAAATCTATTTATTTGTTAAAGTATATATGATGTATGGATAGCCCATGATGTAGTTTAATGCCGTAAAATTTTTTGTAAATGAGAAAGGATTGATGTGCAAATTTATTCCAAAAATTTTTATTTAGGAACAATGAACCGTCAGAAGGTTTTTTGTGTGCGCATATTTATCCTGAAAATTTAAAATCATGACAATATTATTGCTCATTGTAGAAATATTTATAATCATTATCGGTATTTTAATCATTGATATTAATTTTTTAATGATAAGAAGTAATATTATTATAATTTTAAATTTTTCAGACAAACTTACTCCTTGAGTGAATGGGAAATTACAAGTTTTGTTTATAATTCCATGTGGTTACTCGTAAGTTTTTTTTTTGTTCTTAATTTTTCTTTTTAAAATATCCAATAATCTCTTACCTGAACTATGAGAGATCACAGATTTGACCGACTTTTTTTATTTTTTATTTTGACTGATTGGTCATGGTTGGTTCACAACATTTAGGATTCGTTTGAATTGGCAGTGAAAAAAATAGCTTACTTTCAATATGACTTTTAGAAAAGTAAGATTGAAGTAAAAGTTAAATTAGATAAGTTGAATTGTGTTTGAATTGAAGTTTAAAAATGTTAGTTTATAAAAGTGAGATTAGTTAAAGGTTGTTTGGATAATGATTGAGTAAAAGTAAGTTTGTTTGTAAAATTATGAAAATGGGTATGAGTTTTAATAAATAATAAAACATTATTAAAAAAATAATTTTACATAATACAATAGATTTAAATTAATTTAATATAAAGAAATGAAATTTAATAAGTGAATTAAATTTTAAAACTTTAGAAAAATCATAAAAAATATTTTTAAGTTTAAAGTGAAACATGATTAAAAAATGAATTTACATAATACAATAAATTTAAATTAATTTAATATAAAGGAGTAAAATTTAATGAGTGAATTAAATTTTAAAACTTTAGAAAAATAAAAAAATATTTTAAATTCATTTTAAAACTGGGAGGAGCTGACGGAGCAAGCGACTGTTGGCAGAAGAGACGGGATTCGTGGGTCAAAGGTTTGGGGGAAAAAAAACCAAGTGAATAACACAAGGAAATAATGCCAAAAGGGGGACGAAAATAAATTCTCTGACACACCCGGAACGGTCTTCGAATTAAGCTTCTTCAATCTTGGAAAAAAAGCTCCTCTCACTAGCTTACTTCCACCGCACGGTTAAGGAGCTTTTTCCAATAAGCCCAATTTGTCATAAGCCCTCCCAAACAATGCAAAACTTTTCAGTTAGACTTCTCTTAAAATTAAGTCACATTTGGGCCAGTAAACACTGACCCAAACAGACACTTAGGATATTTCTGAATTTTTCGGAGTTTCTGACCGTCAAAAGCAAAGGTAAGAATACTGCGAATGATAAACAACCAAACAAAGATTCTGCCATTTTCTCCCCTACAAACGTTAAAGTAAACACTAAGTTAGTAAGTTATTTTTAATATAAAAGTTAAATAATTAATTTATCAACAACAACAAAAAATAGTTTAATTAGCTATGGGTAATAAATTTACAAATTATTTTTGTAATCATGGGTACTAAAACTCTCTTTTGTAATCAATGAAAATACTTTGACCAAAATTATAAATTTAGAGAATAAATTGAATTAAGATCTTATATTTAAAATCAAAACAAAATTTTTAACTAGTTCTTATATTTAGAATTTAAAATAGTAATAAAAATATGAAAATCCGCAAAAACAAAAGAAACACGGGCTGGGGACGGGGATTAATATTTTGGCCCATAAATTTTAACGTTTTTTGGTATCATCCATGTGCTACATAATTTTCTCTTGAAATTTATACAAATTGTATACAATAATATGTGTTTTATTTAAAACGATTAAGGTGCAAATTTATTTCCTAAAATATTTTGTCAAGGGTACCAAATATCATAAATTTTTCTTTGACACAAAAACATCATAGTCATTAAGGCTTAGGAAAAGTCATTAGCGGCATGTCAGCGCAGAGACCAAGGGCAGAGTCACCATTTTATATATTTAATTACTTATTTACTTTTTGAGATTGACAAGGCAAGTTACAATTTGATATTACATAGATGGGTTTTTGAAGTTGGAAGGTGTAAAATTACCAGATCATGCAGAAACGTTACCTTATAATTTTACAGATACTATAAATTGTCAAACTCCATGCCTGCAGAATTCCTCTTGCAAAGCTTATACATATGAACCAGGCCTTGGCTGTATGGTTTGGAAAGTAGACTTGGTTGACTTAATGAGCAACTTATCTGGAGGGGTGGATCTTTACTTACGTCTCGCCTCCTCTGAGCTAGGTACCATAATAGTGTTCCCCCCCCCCCCCCGGTAGATAGGTACCTTTTTTCGTTAATGAACTCAAGTTGGATTTGATACCAAACTTGTCGTTTCAGCATTATATATTATATATTTTGTCATATAGTTATTAATTATCTTATCATATTCTGTTTGTGTTTGTGGACTATTTTAGATGGAAAAATGATAATCTCACTTCTTGCATTGTACACTGATGCAGGAGGGGATATTATATACACATAAGAGGGACATAAAGTCTCATGAACGGGGGACTAAAACCTATTAAAGCCTAATATTTATGAATAATAATAACAGCTACCAATCATAACACTACAATAAAACATGATTTTAGCGACGGAATTTAGCGACGAATTAGCGACGGAACGGATTAGCGACAGAATTAGCAACGGATTTTCCGTCGCTAACTCGATTTTTTTAAAAATAAAATAAAATGCCACGTGGCACCTCTACCAATTGCCACGTCATCACCGAGACCACCTCCACGTGTCGCTGCCACCTCACATCTACTGCCACGTGTGCGCCACATGTCACACATTTGCCTGCCACCTCACCTCTGCCTGCCACGTGTGTGCCACGTGTCACCACCACATAATTCCCTTCTCAAAGTGACTTCTCCATTGGCTTGAACCCAGGACTTCCTCCGTGCGCATGTGCGACTTTACCAGTTGAGCTGCAATGAACCTGTTGACTTATTATGTAAAATTAAATATATATATTATATTATTTTACACAAACAATTATATATACATATATATTATTAAAAACTAAAAATATACTATATGATAATTTTAATAATAACTATTTTAATGAAAAAATATTTTTTAAATATTTTTTTACTATTTTTATAATTTTTTATTTTTTAAAAATCTTTTTAATATAATTTTAATTTCTAACGACACTAATTTTGAATTTTACATCATAAATAATTTTTCATAAATATTTTTTAAATTTATTTTTTAATTAACATTGATAAGATATACAATTTAATTATATATATATATATATATTATATTACATTATATTATATATGTATATGTGGTTTATATATTTGAAGAAAATCATTTACAATTAGTCAAAAAATCTTGTTATTCAAAAAATTCAAAAAATAATTACTATAATAAAATCTAATAAATTATTTTATATAAAAAATTAAATGATTTAAATATATTATGATAAACAGTATTTTCCTACTAGTATATATATCCTATGTAATTTATTTTCTTAAAATTTGCGACGGAAACAAATTCCGTTGCTAATTTCTGACGAAATTGCGACGGAATTTCCGTCGCTAATTTTTTTGATGGATTAGCAACGGAATTAGCGACGGAATTGTCTGACAGAAAAAAATTCTGTTGCTAATTTTTTTGACGGAATTGTCTGACAGAAAAAAATTCTGTTGCTAATTTTTTTGACAGAATTGTCTGACAGAAAAAAATTCTGTCGCTAATTCCGTCACTAAATACGGATTAGCGACGGAATTTAGCGATAGACAGAAATTCCGTCACTAAATTCCGTCGCTAATTTGCGACGGAATGAATTCCGTCGCAAATTCCGTTGCAAATTTGCGACTGAATTTGTTTCCGTCGCTAATTCGCTGTTTTTTTGTAGTGTAATGAATGCTTAATATTCCCTCAGTATTCATGCCAATCATACTACTTCTATCGTTTTTCAATAGATTTATGACATTTGGAATGCTGTTCTTGTGAGTTCACAATTGCGGTCTTTGATTGCAAATTAGAGCGCGTTATACATTTAAGGATGAATCTAAATTACACACACACACCCACACTTGAAGACTTTATTGCCTTTATTTCTATTTTTAAAACTCTTTTGATTAGGACATATGTAGTGTAGCACTGAAATTATTGTCAGAAAATGAAGTCTATATGAATTGTCTTCTTATTTTGATACAGGCACAGACAAGAGGAATATGAAAACACCAATTGTGATATCGGTTTTAACGGGAGCTATTCTCATTATAGTCTCTGGATTCTTCTTATGGAAAAAATGGCCAAAGCAAAAAGGTGATGTTCTGTCAATGATTTGAGTGTTAAGGTGAATAGATCATTGTTTTGGGAAACTGAAGTCACATTTCTCCCTTTGTTTTTTTTTTTTTCAATCTTCTCTTTCTCCCCCAACCCAAAAACACACAATATATGAGAAAAAATATAGTTGATTTATACCTTTTTCAAAAGTTAAAACCAAACACAATTTCTTGTGCATTTGAAGAATGAATGGCATTACTTAGAAATTGTAGCGGGTTATGATTTTGATGATATATTGATGAAATGGAACGATATGTGCAAAACACAGAAAATGCAGCACAACATAAGAAGGATTACAAAAGAGCGAGTAGAAATTCAAGAGCTATCATTGTTTGATCTTAGAAAGTTGGCAGCTGCAACAAACAACTTTGACAGAGCAAATAAAGGAAAAATGACACTAAGGTCTCATGCGACACAAAATACTACAAAAAGGTCTCAAAAAATTTGGTAATGATTTTGAAGTTCCAAAGAGACTTGAGTGCAATTTGATGAAATGTGAAAAGACGCCTCTGCCCCTGGTGAGATGCACCTACAGTAATTGAAAGTTGCCCTATTTTTCAGTATGAAAATTGGCACTCAATATACAAGAAGCAAGGGGAAAACAAAACCCAAGCTTCATTCTATTGGCAAAAAGATTTGGGTCATTATGATTGACCTCATTTGTTATAGAAACCTTTGCACATGGATTCTTTCCATTTGAATACTTTGTTGCTTTGTCCATACTAAAGGTAATTTGCTCATCACCAAGCCGTAAAGCTATTGTGCTCTTTTCTACATCTACCAATGCTCTAGATGTGGCCATGAATGGTCTTCCAAAAATTAATGGAATCTCTTTATCCTCTTCCATATCAAGAATTATGAAATCAACAAGATAAATAAATGCTCCAACTCTGACAAGTACATCCTCAATAATGCCATATGGATGAGAAAGACTTCTATCAGCTAATTGAAGTGTAACGGCTGTAGAATTGGCCTCCCCTAGATAAAGCTTCTTGAAAGTAGATAAGGGCATAAGGTTCACAACAGATCCTAAATCACATAATGCGCGACTTTCAAAATTCTCACCAATCGAGTATGGAATAGAAAAAGAACCAAGATCTTTATACTTAAGGGGACTTTGTGTGTTGATGATATTACTAGTCTCCTTGGTTAGTGCCACAGTTGCATATTCAGTTAGGCACTTCTTCCTACAAAACATATCTTTAAGGAACCTAGCATACTTGGGCATTTGCTCCGATGCCTTTGAGAATGGAATATTAATATGAAGCTGCTTGAAAATTTCCAAAAACTTAAATATTGTTGATCTTCAACCTTCTTGCTAAACACTTGGGGAAAGGAAGGGGTGGCACCACCCTAGGACACTTATCTGTCTTACCCTTTCTTTGTCTAGTTTCACAATCTAAATGTATCTCAATTGTTTGATCAACTTCTTGTTTTGATTTAGACTTTGATGTAGAAGGAGGTATCTTCGATAATTGCTTGCCATTCCTTAATGTAATCGCCTTGCACTCCTACTTATAGTCTTCACAAGGATTCGGCATAGTGTTCCTTGGTAGTCCTCCTTGTTGTAGTGCATTAACAGCATTTGTGATATGTCTTACTTGCATATCAATCCTGAGGGCTGCGTCCACTCTTGCATTTATGTTAACTTTAATCTGAGAAGACATGAATATCATTTCCTCTAAATCAACCTTAGGCACTTGGTTAAGGATATGTTGCCTTTCCAATTGAGAAAATCCAAGAGGTGAAACTTGCCTTACACCAGAAGTTGACACTTGATCAAGTGTTGAACCATGTTTCCAAGACAAGTTAGGGTGATTCCTTAATCCTGGGTTGTAAGTGTTGGCATAAAGATTGTTCTGATTAGTACCCCAAAAATTTCCAACATAGTTTACTGGCTCTACTTGTTAAAAGGTAGGGCACTATTCAGAAGCATGTCTATCTCCATAATAATCGCATGGGGTATATATGGCATTAACCCCTAATTGTCCTCTATAGGATTTCTCAACTCGTGCTTCTAAGTGGTCAAATCTTTTGTTGAGAGCACTAAGCATAGCTATTACTTGTGAGGAAGAGTCATCAACATCTTTTTCTACTGATTTTACTTGTCTCCGTTCATTGCTATTCTGAATATAGTTAGCAGCCAAATTGTCCAAGCAACTCCAAACATGGTTCACTAGTTGCTTTGTAATTTCTCCATTAGTAATGGCATTTAATTCCAATTTTGATTCATGTGTCAACCGACTACTAAAGATTTGAAGTAGGGCCCACTTCTCTTGATTATGTCCTAGCCTTTGTCTGACCAACAGCTTGAATCTTTCCCATGCTCCATACAAGTGTTCATCAAATTGTTGGCTAAAATTCATCAATTTGGTTCTAGCATCCACTATCTTGATATGAGGAAAGAATCTGGATCAAAACTTCTCTTCTAAGTCATCGCATGACGAGATGCTTCCTTCTTCCAAGTTGTTGAGCCATTCTTTAGCCTTCCTTTGTAAAGAGTAAGGAAAGAGTCGGAGATGAATAACATCACTAGGAACTCCATTCTGCTTAAAAGAATCACACACATCTAGAAATTTAACTAGATGTCGATTGAGATCCTGATTACTATGCCCCCATATTTGACAATAAGTTCCAACATTTTGAGCATTGTTTGCTTAATCTCAAAATTAGTGGCTTGGAATTGTGGTACTTTGATTCCGGATTGGTACCCTCAAGGTTGTTTTCCCAAGAAGTCATTGATGCCCAATCTATCATTCTCATCTTTAGCCATCTCTTTTTCTAGAGTTTTGCGAACTAGATGCTTAGGTGTTGTTGTCTCTAGAAGCTTGTTCACATTCCTTGTCTTCACAGGTGTGTTTCTTAGGGGGTGTTTGGATGAAATCAAACCATGGTTTGGAGAATAGCTTCTGGAGAATAGATTTTGTAAAAAAAGTGATTATGATAAAGTGAGAGTGTTTGGATAGTTATTATCAGAAATACTTTTTATATGTGCAAATTACTAAAAAAGACATAAGTTAATATGATAATTACATAAAAGATATATTTTATAATATGTTTTAATTGGAAGGAACAAAATTGTTAATAATATATTTTTTACCAACATAATTAATAATATATAAGATAATGTAATTAATAAATAATTAATATGTGCATATATATATTTATAAAATAAAGATTAAATATGTTTATAAAAAAAATAATTGATGAATGTTAAAGTCATATTATCATTGAGATCTATTCTGACAAGCACTCTGACACTCTCCTTGAGCCAGAAGTAGAATGAATTCACTTCTTCTGAAACCATGATTTTGGCCCAAACCATGGTTTCTCCATAATTGTCCTTGTTTTGCAGTGTCTTTCCCTAAATCATAGTTTGAAGAGACACCCAAACAAGCCCTTAATCTATATGGCATATACTATAAATCACTACAAAGACAGAGAGAGGAAAGATCAAGAATCGAACTAAATAATGAAATAGGAAAAAGGTAATTAAAACTAAAATAGAAAAAGAACTATCCTAACTATCAATAATAAATAATAATAATAAAACTAGAGAAAAAAGAAATTAAATGCTTAAGCTTAAATTACTAAAGGTCCTCTAATTCTAAACACCAATCGTCTTGATTCCTCAGCAAAGGTGCCAAAAACTTGATGCATACAAATTGTGAATAACGCAAGTGCATGTGTCGATCAAATAATAAAGAGTAAGTATAGAGTATCATTCCCATGGAGAATCAGACAAAATAATATTTAGGCATTAAAGTTCCTATTTTCAATTAATTTAAGCAAACTGAATTATGGTTGATTGGATAAAAAGAATAAAGACAGAAAAAATTCAATATTAAAGACAATCTAGAGTTACTAATCCCTTATTAGTTTCATAGACTTTTGCCTTTATTTAACTAATTAGTCTCAACGTTAATTTAGTTAATCTAGAGTATTTATAGTTAAAAGTATCTTTCGATTCACTTACAAGCCTCTCCTAAATAATAAGGTTATGTCTAACTCAAATACTTAAGAGGATAAATTAATTTCACTCTTCATCAATTATGTAAGGCTCCTAGGTATATTTCTATCATGCTCGCAAATCAGATAAAAATCTAATCCCATATTACTCAATCCTAGAGTCTAATTAAGATTTCCTTTGTCAAGGTTAACCTCAATGCTCAAACTCATATTTAATGGTGGTCAAACATTAAATAGATATATTAAACCAAGATTAAGTAACCAAAATTAACATCAAGCATAATTAATTAAATGAAAACCAAGTCTAATCCATAAGTAAGTTCATAGCTACTCTATGTCTAGAAGAAAATTAGCCACGCATGGCTAAAATAAAATCGACAGCATAAAAGAAAGAATTCAGATTCAACAAAAGAATAAAGATAGAAAGAGGAAAACAAATCTATGAGAGGTCATTGTCTTGATCGTTGCTATCGCACGAAGAGAATGATAAACCGAAGGAAACATCCTTGCTACCGTCGCAGAAAAGGATCGCCAATTGCCTACTGGTTGCTTGCTACTTTCAGTCCATCCTTGTTTGCTGGACCGCTGCTTCCTATTTATAATGGTTTTGCGTCTTCTCTCCCCTTAATGCCTTGAATCCACTGCCTCTTATCCATATATCTCCAATATAATATATTATATTATATTATATTACGATGATTTACCTTGCTTCACAGAACTTCACGCCTCCAATCCTCTTAATATACACACACACATGCACTCCATATATATATATATATATATATATATAAAATATTTGTTGCAATTGTTGGTCCCCTTTTGTTTTATCTTTTATTTGTGATATTTCCTTCTTTCAATAATTTTATATCTCCTGTATTAAAAATAATAAAAGATTTGAGTGGATTTTATGCAAGATCATCTTTTATTCTATAATTGATTTAAAAGAAGAAAAATTCATAAAAGAAGGTTAAATAGGTATAAATTATCCACAAATTTTACTAAATATATTTCAAAACCTACACCTATTTAATTATAAAAATGATCATTATCAAAAATAGTAGTATTTGGTCACACCCACAAGCATACAACACTTTGACCTTTTACTTTGATCAACTACGGTGGGCGACCCATATTTCAATAACGTGCTTTAATGAGTTTGTAAATGATGATCAATCAACCCCTTTTTCGGTAGTAGTTTTTTTTCCTTTTTAGTTTCTTTTCTTTTCTCTGAGTACTGATCTCTGTCTAGGAACTTCAATGCAAAGCATGCGAGGCAGAAAAATTTGAGAAAACCACAGATGCAGAAGAAGTACCTATCAGAATTTGAGAAAAAATGGTTCAACTTCATTCAATAGTCTTGGGCGTCTAATTAAGCATTAACTTGATTGATTACTCTCTACAGCTTGCTTAGAAAACTAGAAAATGGTCCCACTTACAGAAAAATTGATCAACGAATGAGAAGTTTAAAAATTAGTGAACAATATGTTAAGTCTTTTACGTCTAAATGACTACGAGGATTCCCAGTTACTGGAGTAGGAGAAGAACAGGGAAATAGTTGTCATTTACAACATTCAAAATCCCATAATTCTCTGCCTCCATTTGCCGATAATCAACAAGTATATTGGATTCAGTAAAAATGCTTTCCTGTCACTTACTTTTCTTATATATTTGTTCTCTTTTCCTGTTCTGATCTGTGACCATTACTGATTAGCGAATTTGGGTGTGTGGAGGAGAGAAACTATATACGAGAAGTGGAAGGGCCATAATTTTTTTAAAAATAACAGTATATTAAAATATTGATATCTAAATAATTAATATTAAAGTGATGTCATACTATTTCGGAGATAAATTATGACCCATTGGATCAATTTTATAATGGTTCGTATATGTATGTAAGAATAATAAAGAATTTCTATTAAATTTATATGAACTGACGTATCACGATCCATAAAGGGATAAGAGAGTCGGCACTTCAGAGGTATCTAAACTCTCATTCATCTATCATGGATTTCTGAATGTCCATTAGTCTTTCTATTCTCTTTGTCCTTAATTAATTAGTATTTGGGAAGCATGAATGGCATAGGCTAAATAGTTTACACAGCTTTTATTTTCTTATATATAATATTTACTATCATTTTATTCTTATTGTAATCTTTTATGTTTAGCACGCAGTCTTACCAATCATCATTCACTATTATATTTCACATGAAGTTTTTAACAGGAAATAATTCTACAAAATAACTAACATAACTTTTGTCA